AGAGAGAGAGAGAGAGAGAGAGTGAGAGAGATAGAGAAAGAGAGATAGAGAGGGGGGGAGGGGTGGCGGAGAGAAGAGAAAGGGCTTGAGAGAGATATAGAGAGGGGGGGGACAATGTAGGCACCCTGATACCGTTCAATCGCAAAAGTCTATACTTCCAACCAAGATATATCTAGATGGATACTTTTAAAAAAATCAAAATCAAGAAAAATGAACAAGCTTTAAGATTATACCGGGCAATAACGTTATGCCCATGTATTGTAGAGCCCAACGTGTCTAGACACAATTGATTTGATAGCTTTAAGGGGTCTATACGGCTGGCTAGTTCATTTAAATCTTGCGTAGAGGTACTGCATTGCTGGGATTAACATATTATCGTCAGAGCCATTTCACAATGCCCGAATCAATCTGGGGAATTTACAGATAAAGCCTTAATTCGAAAAAAAAGACATCAACAGATGCTTTACATTATAATTATGTTCTGTTTCCTTATCTCCTTCTTCATTTTTAACTGAAAAAAACAAGTGCCCAAATCATGGCTTTGACTTGGGTGCTCTCTTTTTGTTTAATTTTCACAAAACTTCAGGCAAGACTTACACGCTTGAGAAAATTAATGTAAGGATGGTTATGCCTCTGCCACTTGATTTTTATATATCTGACCTGGTCTATTTCAGAGTTGGGCTTTTGTGATAAAAAAAAAAATAGGCACCCTGAATATGAATATATATATATATATATATATATATCTTTTTGGGGTTTAGTCATCCTGCACCCTCTGTTGCATCTCTCTCAAGTGAATCAAACCCAAACCCCTAAATGTAGATCGCCACAGTCCTTTTGAAAAACATTTTCAGTGTGTTAGTCTAAAGTCACACCTGACGGATTTCTGCTCGGTAAAAGTTATGCTATGGATTACAAGACAAAATGTCACATTGAAACATTTACAAATAAAAATACAGTTAGTGTGATGTGACTATAGACTTTGAATTACGCCACCCGGGCAAAATTCAAAATTTCCAACCAACTGAAAATGTTAGGTGTGTCCCGCGCGCTCATATGACCTTATGCAGTTGTGAGCGCCGTAAAACACTTACAAAAAAAAAAAAAGACTTGTATTCTGATAACATCCACGACTCTGTACCCTAACGTAATTCAGGTTCACGGGGGAGCGCGCCACAAGACTCAATTTGATTCGAAACCAAATGTAGGGCAAGGGGAGGGGGGGGGACGAATGCTGTATGTGCGCTTGATTATAGCGAGATTGGTACAGATTTTGTCAAGGTGCACACCAGCGCAGCGAAGTTCTTTATTGAGAGCAAAGTGCGACGACCATGACAGTGCACGGTCCTGGTAGGACAGTGCTTGCCAACCTTTTTATAGCCAGCCCAAACTGTTGTCACCTTTGATAGATAAAAACTTTCGTGTCACCCACCCACATATTCTATTTCCCATCGATTCATCAAATAACACCCGCCACTACCCGGGTGGTCTCCACCGCCCACCAAGATGACCAAATCTCATCTGTAATGGGTGATACCGCTCAGGTTCCCGAGCACTGGTCAAGGATATTGTAATTCAAGTCAATGTGGTAATTAATCTATGATTTGAAACCGGGAACATTGTGACCTAAAGCTCGATCTATGTCAAAGAATGTTGAATCTTTGGAACTGTCTTTGTAAAACCAATACTTTCAATCTGACGCCAGCCGACACTAACAAAACAGTTAAACAGTTTAAGTCCTGGGCTCTCTTTCTAATAGCAGCTATCAAAGCAAAGAAGAAGAAAAAATAGCTCAGGGTCATACATAATGAAACCGACAAAAAGAACACCATAAAAATATAATTGAAACTATTACCATCACCACCACCAACGACACGATTAGCAACAACAAGAACAATTACTACAAAACTCCTACAACAGCTATAGCAATAATAGTAAAAGCAACGGCAACAGCAAAAGGGGCACAAACCACAACAACGGTAACAACGCAACAGCAACAATAATAAACAACAGCAGTAGTAGCGACTATAATAATCTCATTGGTACTTCTCTAGTCAATCTAATTATTTTTATCGTGGTTGAAAACTGAGTTTGCTTTGTGAATACTTCTTCTTGTCATATTGATCATTACTTGACTTTTTTTTAACGCTACCTACCCATCTTTTTCTCTATGATTTTAACAACCTGTAGTTGATTCATGAAAAGCCTTACCCTTTCTAAATTAAACCTCTTCTTGTGCTAGGTTAAGACGGCTACTAAGTGCCACTAAACACAACTGTGGCCTTGGGGAATTAAGATTGGGCTCGTTAGAATGAAGAAAGAGAGACAAACTTGGTTTTTAAATTCGGAAGTTGACAAAAAGAGTTTGGGCAAATTCAAATTCGGAACAATAGCGTTTGTGTGTAGAGTCCCATACCCACGAGCCCTCATGAGCAGCTTTTCCCTTCTGGAATCAAACCATCCAGGGCTTGTGGGAGGCGGAGAACCGTACTGTAAATCAAATCGGAAAAGGCCAAGGGTGTCTTTCTTCCACATATACGTCAACTTACGCATCCGATTCAAAGTGAAATTTTTGTTAGCTTTATCAACAGCAGGCAGTAAATAATTAAGATATGAAGAAATGACAAAAGCACGTTTTGGGCGGGATAAAAAATATTTCCTACGCAGCACGAAATAACCTTTTACCTAGAATCATAGTACAGATTGGAGTGAATGCCGTCAAAGATTACCCGAAGGCAACATGCTCAGTTTTTTTCTTCTGGAAACAAAATGTTGTATCGCTTGCTCAAACGACAAAAGCTCACGTTATCACGCTACCATATTGATTCGTTTTTTGTTTGTTTTTTTCCAATTTATTGGACCGTTTACAGCTGCTGTGCAGAACACACAACACGCCATCTCGAAAACGGTATATTTAGCTCTCAACGGGACATCGTTTTGTGATTTTTAAAAAGCAAACGATTACTAGAAAAGTTCAGACTGATTCAAACATAGAATAAATTCTAACGTATTTCAAACATTTTACCAGCTACACCACACATGCTAGCGTCTATTTTTAATGTTGGTGTATTTACACCCCCATCGATATAATTTAGATCATTCAGGAGGAGGCTTCGACCCTGCCCATCAGGGCTAAACCAGGCAGTGGGTGATACAATGTTCCACTCAGCAGAAAGACCGAGATACTCGATAAGAATTCTCCCGACAAAAGATTTGAACTCGGGTCTCCAGCGTGCGATAGCGAAACGCCTAAGAACTCCACCGTCGACCCCGGTCCGCTAACATCGCGCTATTTCCTCCCAACAGGACAATCAGAATATCACATCACATGCCTGAGAGACCAAAGCCTACTTTGTCATGCCAAACAATTCCCCCAGCCAGAATTAATTAATTCTCCGGTAAAACTTCCTACCACGGGACCATCAGACAGGGTATTCTTCATATCGGACTCACCCTTGTCAGATATGGCTTAACAGGCGAGGTCACGAAATCGATTTTTGTCAACATTTACTCCGTAATCTGAACTAGTCACCTTGTCACGGGCACTTACTCCATCATTACAGAACTGCAACCTTATCCGCACATGAAATCACACAATAATCAATCATTTCCATCCATTGGAATAAGAAAATAAAATGAAACTAATAATTTCCTGGAACTTGCTTATACACTAACTACCACTTATGGACGACACAATCAGTATGAAGATGAATAAAACGAATTGACTTTTGTAATTGTTTTTTTCCAGATCAGACCCATCCGACGACCTGGAAGGGACTAACCTTTATCCATTACGTCACCAACCGTTTTGGTTTAGCACTCGTGGGTGTGTCAAAGGGTCCTTGAAATGAACAACCAAACGGCTGAAAAGGTGTGGACATTAACAATCTATCGCCATCCGCTCAGGGCATATGGCAGCGGTGCCAGAGTGCTGGCAATCTGCGCTAGTCACGGGCGCCGATCGATGTCCGGCCTGGTGATAGACCGACCTCTAAACGTCACACATACACACGCACAGACAGACACAGATGCATACACAAACACGCACTCGTCCTTGCATACTCACTCACTCCCTCCCTCACTCACTCACTCACTCACTCACTCACTCACTCACTCATTCACTCAATCACTCACTCACTCACTCACTCACTCACTCACTCACTCACTCACTCACTCACTCACACGCACAATCTCAAACTATCAAATAAACACACATGATAATAATATGTATGTACTTACGCGTGCGTGCACATACACACACACGCGCACACACACACACACACACACACACACACACACACACACACACACACACACTCATACATGCGCGCACGTGCGCGCATGCACCCGTGCAGGCTCAGATACCAACCTCTTCCTTCCACCCCCACCACCACCAATACAAAAACACAATCACACACAAACACACACACACACACATACATACATACGTACATACACTCATACAGTCACTCAAACGCACCCACGTATATATATACCAGTACACATTTACCCACTCCTTATTCTCCATGATCCATTATTACTCTCTCACACACACACCCATACACACACACACACACACACACACACACACACACACACACACACACACACACAAACATACAAACACACACACGCACTCACACACACTCTCTATCAATCGGGCGTGTGCACTTCACATACATACATACCTACATACATACATGCATACATTACATACATACAAACATACATACACACACACACACACACACACACACACACACACACACACTCACGGGCGGGCGCGTTCGTGCACATACATACCTACATGCATACACACACACACACACACACACACACACACACACACACACACACACACACACACACACACACACACGATTCCAGATCACGACTACGTAGAGTTATGTTCCTACAATTCTATACCTCCCTTTTCTGTTCTGGCTGCAGCGCACAAGAAACCACATTACAACATCAAAAACTCCAAAGACAAACAACAGCAACAACAACAACAACAAAGTTTTAAAACAGCCCCAACTTAGGATAATTCGTCCTGAAATGAAGTGAAATGTAGCCCAAAATAATAATATCTTAGGAAAAAACAAAAGCCGATAAAAGCCCAAACCAAGTATGGAACAATGAAGGCGTAAAGTCCCAATAGCTGTAATAATGATGAATTAATGGGCAATCATCGGGTTGTATGCGCCGGATAGAAATGTTTGTGGAAAAATAGAGGCGATGTCAGGTGGTTTTATATTGGGGAAATCTGCGATGCTGAGCCCTTGGGGATATACGGCGCCATTATATCAGTGACGACGGCAGGAGAAAAACAGGAGTTGCGAATTGAGGGGTGGGGATGGGCGGGGAGGGGGGGGGGTTATGGTCGGGCAAATCACGTTTCCATCATTTTTGTCTGGTGTCGTTGTAGGCGCCTATGAGTTACATTATATTAAAAGGAATTCCGTATCTATTGGGGGGGTTTTCTCAGGATCTGGGCTCTTTCTCATTATTATTTTTCTCTTCTCGTTGAAATTCGTTTATGAAAGTAATACAAAAATTAAATTCTGTGTACATCTTCATGAGTGGTTTTTATTAATTTATTCTTTTTTTAAATTACAATTCCTGTACCTTCACAGAAAACTTCCCACAGCGGCAATAAAGTATTTTCTTATCCTATCTTGGTCATCATTTAATGCTCCTCACTAATCTAAATTGAATCGATGGGGGCGTAAAAATAACCACATTTTTTACAATGCTCTTTACAGACTCATTGGTACACACAATAACTCGTGCAGTGACATTTTTCAAAGCGTGCACATTCAAAAGCTACGCTTATGATGATTTCTTTGCCCTGTTTAGCTTTTTATTCGTATTGCTCACGAATAGTTGAAAATTTATCCCCTAAAAACAGTTTTGTGGTAGAAAACTTTACCCGTGTGTACCCCCTCCCTCCCCCAACCCTTCCCTTCCACACCTACAAAAGAATGATATTCCGCAAATTCGATGTCCTTCTGAAATTCTGAGATTCTGAGATTCTGAGATTCTAAGATTCTGAGATTGTACCATAAATTGCACAGTCAAGTTACTTCAGCATTTACTGCTGAGGCAGCTAAACTAGAACACCTATCTGAACCTTAGATTGTCCCAATCATACAACGACCTTTTTCCACACGAAATCAGGACAAATTATTATCAAAGTACAGAGATAACCAACCTTGAATTAATCAGTTTACGCATGTTTAGTTTAGAGCTCAAGGTCACTGGGTCAGTGCATGCATGAGATGACGTAATATTCTGCAGCTCGAGCCAAACTGCATTTCCCCCCCTGGTAGCTTTCCCCCTTTTCTCCTCTAGTTAGTCCCCCTTGTCCGACAGGGCTGAATACCCCTCCTGACTGGAAGATTGGTGTTGGGCAAACACGATCTTTTGTGATGGTTATTGTAATTGTTATTATCATCGTTAGAATTCTTTCTCTGCCTGTTCTTATTCTTGTTCTTGTTCTTCTTTTTCTTCTTCTTCTTCTTTTTATTTTTTATTATTATTATTATTATTATTATTATTATTATTATTATTATTATTGTTGTTGTTGTTGTTGTTGTTGTTGTTATTATTATTATTATTATTATTATTATTATATTACCATCACCATTGATATCACTGATATTTTATATAGATGGTGTGCCAGAAAGAGGTAACTTTGGGAGGAGTGGTTTGTAGGGATGAGGAATTATGGGATGTTGGCTGTGTGGCGATTGTTTGCGTGATATGTGTTCAAAGAAAGAAAGGGAAAGAGAAAGGGTGAGCGAGAGCGAGAGAAAGAGAGAGAGACAGAGAGAGAGAGAGAGAAAGAGAAAGAGAAAGAGACAGAGAGACAGAGAGAGAGAACAATTGAGAGAGAAAAGGAGATAGAGAAGGAGAGAGAGAGAGAGAGAGAGAGAGAGAGAGAGAGAGAGAGAGAGAGAGAGAGAGAGAGAGAGAGAGAGAGAGAGAGAGAGGGAGAGAGAGAGGGGGGGGGGAGAATTAAAGAAATGCCCACCTGGTGATTTATACAGTTGGATAGCACGCTTCAAGTCTCACCAAACTATTTATGGTGTTCCCGTCTTGGTTTTCTTTCGAGTGCATTTATGCAAATCTTCAAAAGACAACCCCCAGCCAATTAAAAAAGTGGTTCTTAAGGTGAGATAAGATAAGATAGGATAAGATAAGATGATATAAGATAAGATAAGATTATATAAGATAAGATCAGATCAGATCAGATCAGATGCGACGAACTTTATTGATCCACATTGGTAATTTTGAGCGGATGTACCTGAAAACCAATTTCATAAATGTTCCTGGAAACTTACAAACGAAGTGGGAACCATCTTCCCTTTAGCGAACTCAAATTAATTTGCAAGGCAAAAAATTATATCACTGTAACTTGAGGACAATTTGTTTGGGTCCGTGTGCCCCACGGCGGTCATTAACCCCACCTAGACCATCGCGTTATCTCAACCGACTTGTGAATTGTTAAGAGTTATGGTTTGCATTAATTACTTGTCAATTCTGCTCATGGTGTTATGTTGCAGTGCTTTACTGCTCTTTCCTGTGGGCTTTGGGGTCAAAGTCAATTTTCCCACACCATTTACTCAAGTTGATTTCCTGAACATGTGCAACCCAGTGGTTAGTTTACTTTCCTGAACATTTGCAGCTTTGAGGTCAAGTTCGTTTTCAGACCCTTTACAACTCTAACCTTTTCAATATAAGACTTTTCGTAATAAATCCCTTTTGAATTGATATCTGCCTTTACCTCTTGAAAATTAATTCAGTGAGTGGCAATCACAACTAGTGGAATTAAAACTAAGAAATGTGTGGACTGATTTAAAGAAAACAGCTTTAACCTTGCACTGACCCATAGAAAGCCACTCTCCTGCAACAAAAGGAAAATCCTAAACGAACCCAGACCCTAACCCTAGCCATAACCCTATCCCTAACCCTAACTTTAACCACGACCATAACCCTTACCGTGGCACAAAAACGTCATAAGGTTTAGGTTAGTGTTTGGGTTGTGGATTGTAGTAGACTACTAGGGTCTATTATTAAATGAAACAGTTGTCAGACTGGTCTGGTGGTACACTATCAAGTAGAACAGATACATAGCAGTAAACCGTCAAGTAGAATGTAAAGCATCGCGGTAGACGGTCAAGTGGTCTGGCTCCGGTTTATCTTGCTGGGTTACACAACACCATCACTATCTCTCAAAATTTATGTTTGGGCTGTTTACTCCCCTCCAAAAAAAAAAAACAACAGCCCCGCCCCCAAATTTAAAAAAATGACTGTGACTCTTTGAGAACTCGAGAGGACTTGGACTATCGCACGATCACACAATAGAGCTGGGCAATGAGTCGCTTCAGCAAAATCAGGATAATATTTTAGTGCACCTCTTCGGCTAATAATATGATATGAACCGCTTCGGCAAATGGGTTAGAACCAATTTGACAAACTGGTTAGCACTACTTCAACAAATGGGAGCACCCACTTCGACAAACGGGTCAGGAAAGAGAGTTAAGAGTCTGAAATCGGATAATGTTTCATTGAGAATTATCCGGTTATCCTTTTGGATTATCCGGATTTTGCCCACCTCTATCACACAACGCTGTTTTCGCCTCCGCACTGGACAGGAATAGGACACACACACACTCATTCAGCTGAGCGGGGAAGAATTGGAAGGGTACCGTCGAGGTGAAGGGGGGAGGGATCAGACGCACTGTCACCAGACCGGAAGTCGTTTCAGGA